TGCTGATTAGGACTGAATGATGAGTTTTTACAAGTTTTTTTTATTGATAAGAGATGAGATATGGGAAGAAGAGTTTTTTTAATTGAAATATTAGAGGTGTTAAGTTACTGAAGTTGTTTATACTTGTCTGGAGGGAGGGGGGAGTCATTTATATATCTTTTTTTTGCCTTTTTATTTTTTTTCTTTGCACATTTTCTTTGTTCTTTTCTCTTTTTTATATTTTTCTTAGTTTGTATTAGTTTTTTATTTTTGCATTTGTAAACTTTAATAAGATTATTATTTAAAAATCAGTGTTCCATTTTAAAGAGCAGATAAGATAGCATATGACATAATGAACATTGAACCACACACACACACACACACACACACACACAATGTTTATTCTTTCAAGTGAGTCTTGACTCCTAAAGGCTACATGGACTAGTCCCTGCAGTTTTCTTGGCAACATTTTTGGAAATGGTTTGCCTTTGCCTTCTTCCTTGGACTGAGAGTAAGTGACTAGCCCAAAATCACCCAGCTGGCTTTGTGTCCAAGGTAGGATAAAAAAGACAGCCTCCTGGTGTCTAGCCTGGTATCTTTAATCATTACACTAAACTGGCTCTCATTCATTCATATATATGAATCACGTATACCTGTTCACTGGTGTGAGTTATGGTGGTATTAGGGATTGTCATGAGGGCTCTATTGTCATCTTCTAGCATACTATCTGATGGTACTTCTCCACTGAACGTTGGTAATTGGTCTCAAGGGTTGACTGTAGCTAGTTTATCCATGATATTATGCCTCATATTGGCTGCTGTACTCTGTAATGGAAGGGGTGGCAATGAAGACCTGGAAGCTCCTTACAATGTACGGAGGTTTCCACCCCAAGCCCAACACCCAGAGATTATACGCCAGCCAGAAAGAGGGTGGGGAGGTGGTGTCTGGTGAGTCACTGTCCTGGATGAAACCTAGAGCATCCAGGAGTACATCACTAAGATGGCACCCAAAGATGAGCTGCTGAGAGAATGCCTGACATGGGAGGAGGTTCAAGCAGAGGAAGTGCCATGGCAAGACAAGACCCTACATGGGATGTACCATCAACAGATAGCAGATGTGGCTGATATTGGGAAATCCTACCAGTGGTTGGAAAGGGTTGGAC